TCTCTCTCTCTCTCTCTCTCTCTCTCTCTCTCTCTCTCTCTCTCTCTCTCTCTCTCTCCCCCCACCGAACCACTTTGCCAGTGCTGCTGAGACCTGATCGAATGTCAGGTCTGCCTGTTTCTTGATGTCCCCACAGGTTCAGACTATTCAGACTGTCTAAAGACTAAATAGAAAGCACGGCTTTACACGGTCTAAAGATTGACTGACCGTCCTGGTGGCAGTAGTGTGTGAAGTTGTGAACACCGTTGATGAGCACAGCTCGGGTCTCTCTGTATTCCCTCCCAGTCTGCTCAAGCGCCCATGTGAATACAAGATGCGCATTTCTCAAGTCTCCCTGTACCTCCTCTCCTACTTGATCCATCTCCCGTTGATGAGCACGGCCTGGGTCTCGGTATTCCCTCTCCCAGTCTGCTCAAGCGACCACGTGACTACGAGGGCCTCGTTTCTCAATTCTCACCGTACCTCCTCTCCCACTTGATCCATCTGGCGACCCGCCTCCAAAGGTGTGCGCACACGATCGCCAAGGTTGTGTCTTTGCTTTGCTTTGCTGGCATGATCTTGTTTGTTTGTCGAAGAATTGTGCAAAGCCTATGGACGCCGTCGGATGGTAAAGGAAACTATGGCCGTCGAATCATCAAGGCAAAAGGAGCCAGTGGCCGTCAGATCGTCAATGCAACAGATCGATCGAAAAAGGGTGCACCTCCTGCTGGTAACCAGGAGCAGCCGTGAAAGTTGGTGGCGGTTTAAGTAGAGCTCATCCATGTTCTCTTTCTTCACATGCTTTGTTTGTGTGATGTGCTTGTGACTTCTTTTCGCATGTTCCTTTGCACTACCTCTTGCAGGCATTTGCATGTGTGTGACGTTTTGTGCAGAGCATCACACACATACATGCACACGTAGACATTATGCCCTCACTGTGTTCGCACGATGACCTTGTAAATGTTTTTCAGATGGACTTCTTTCCACGTTCTCCTGAATGAGCACACGTGGGTACTCGTACGTCCTCTTGGAGGCATGTGCGTGTGTTGTGACGTTTTTCATGCAGAGTATGACACAGGCATGCACATGCAGACATTATGCTCGCCCTTTGTTTGCGTGATGACCTTGTAAATGTTTTTCAAACGGACTACTTTTCATTTGTCATGTTCGTGAACTTGCGACGACGGGGATGTGTGGATATTTGTGCTTTGGGGGTTGTGCTTCATGATGGTGGGTATTGCTGTTGGGAGAGCGGTGATGGGGTTGATCGGGGGAGTGGGGTTCGATTTTTTTGCAGCCGCTGAAAGAAGGCGACCCTTACTGTAGCGTCTACAACAAGGTCACGCGTGCTGTTAAACTCCACAAATTGAAAGGTTCTGAGCCTGCGTGCGTGGACTCGGTTACAGTTATCGGCACTGAGAACGATGAAGTGCAGAAGATCATGGTGAGTGTAGGACTACCCAAAGTGCTCCATACCAAACTTTTAAACCACCTTCTTTCTCTCTCTCTCTCTCTCTCTCTCTCTCTCTCTCTCTCTCTCTCTCTCTCTCTCTCTCTCTCTCTCTCTCTCTCTCTCTCT